CGCTTCTCCCTCTCCTCCCCACTTGTGCTCTCACTGTCTCTCCTTCTCTCTCTCAAATAAATAAATAAAATCTTTAAAAAAAAAAAATCATTGCAACATTTTGCAGCTTGAGGCTAATATATAAGTTCAGGTAAAAATAGGAATTCTAAAAGTATTAATTTTTGCTACTATAATTTGTTTCATTTTCTGATAGATATAAATATACTTCTAATTCATATATCTTTTAAGAAGTTTCAGGATATGTTCTGAGCAAAATTAAGTTAATTGGGAAGGTTCAAAATTCAAATTTCTTTACCTCAAAAGCAAATTTCCCTATAATTAAATCATAACCAAAGACATTTATTTTGTTCCATCCTCCCTCGTTACCAGTCCAAAGAACTTTGAAATAAATACAAATCATCTTCATATGGATAGAGTATTTAACAAACTAATGAAATTCTCACATTAATTAAGGCTCTTTTGATTTCAGACTTTCTTGAAGATTTTACTTCTCCTTAACAGAAATAGAGTTGCAAATGTGTTTGACATGGTCAAAAGACCTTAGGACAATCCACTCCTAATTTTCTAACTGGAGCTTCTGTTTATACTGAATTCACTCTCATAGATTTCCAGAGAGTGAATAAGAGCAAATTTTAACTATTTAATATCCTTATCCAGGAAAGAAGCAATCAGATCAAAGTTATTTCTAGGTTATCCAAAGAGAAACTTTATGGACCAGACTATATAAATTTTTAGAAGAAGTTCTCTTCTTTCATTAGAAAACTTAAGAAAGAGTAAATCAAAAGTACACATAAATTACTATCTGGATTCTCAATATAATTTGAGATACAGTTTGGATTTCAGATAATGGAGTCTAGGATTCAAGCATTAAATATTTAGAGAATGAAAAGCAAGAACAGCAAATACTTAAACCTGACACATAACAAAGAATATACATATTTCAAAGTTATAAATGATAATAATTTAGTGCTGACAGTTCTCAAAACAGCATCCAAGAATCACAGTGTGCCCAATATAGCTTAATGAGATGAAACTTAACAAGAAAAAAAGAAAAGGAATAATTTGCTGAGAAGGAGAATTGAAATAATTTGCTAAGAGAAGGAGAACTGAAATATGAATACACATGTTTAGTAAAACCTTATAGTGAACAGTAAGATTATTATTAAAGAGAAAAGATTAGGAAAAGAAAACAGGAAAGGAGAGGAGAGAGGAAGAGAAGGAAAAAGGGACAGAGGAAGGAATGGAAAAGGGAAAGAGATAGGGAGGAAAAAAGTGAGGGAAGGAGGGAGAGAGGGAAGAAGAAAGGCAGAAAGGCAGGCCAGCTGGCTGGCTAATGTCTATTCAGAAGAGAATTAAAAGAGCCAGATTTGTAGCAGAAATACATGAGAGAGAAAATGGATCTTTCACATTATAAAAAAGAAAAACAGAAATAGGTCTCTTGCCTATCTATTGAAATAACTTATAATCATTGCTAGTGGATTTTGTTCTATTGACCATGTTTTTTTCTATCATTCGAAGTTAATAATTTTCTAATCTGCAATTACAAATGACCCAGGAAATCACTAATAGAAGTACATTTTCTATTGTGTCCGGATTTGGCTAAGTGGAGATGAATTGTTCATTATGAAATAATGTATTTCAGGTACAAAATGATGCTCCACTTGTGGATTAACTTGAGTTGATAAACAAGAGCCCCCAGGAAAACATACAATATAAGAGGATATAAAACAGGCTTAATTTGCAGTATGAAGGCTTAGACGGTATGTTGAGGGTAGGAGAAAAGCCTGTGTTAAAAGCAATATAAGAAGCTACAGAACCCTGTATTATTACTGCTAGCTCTATGATTCCATGAACTTTAGCCTAGAAATCATGTTTTCGGAAACAATCTACAGCTGAGGCTACAACAACAACAGCAACAAACATGGAAATGATGTGTTTCTGTGCTGACTGCTAAGGCTTGCTTGGGAAGAACACAAAATAATCAATTGTTCATTACCTTGCTAAGTGAGAAAAGCAGAGGCAAAGAAAAGAAAAAAAACTGGCTCTGAGATATATACTATGACTTTTTTTCTCCTTCAAATATCTTTTCTTAAGCCAATATTAAAATTAGCATTCTATGTGAACACACTAGTTGATGATAATGGGAGGCAGCCCAGAAATAGATAACAGAACAGAGAAAAGCCAGCAAGAGTTTAGAAAACTGATGTGCATAGAGCCACAAAAGGAAGATAATGTAGAGTAATGGTAAAAGCACGCACTTAGAACTAAAACACTTAAAGTCTAAACACAGCCCCACCTTAATATCTAAGTGACCACTATGTCATTTATCCAGAATGGGCTTATTCCTCTATCTATAAAATGAGGGAAGGGAGGGGGAAGGATTCAATAAACCATCTCTAATTTTAAAAATCCACGGGTAATTTAAAGTAAAGAGATATTACACTCTAGATGAAAATCCAAACTTCAGAATTGTAGCATCATAGTACATAACTGAGCCACAAATACCAAAACAGTGTATCACAAAATGTTATAACTGAAAGGAACAATGGAAAATGTCTAGCTTATGTATTCATTATACTGAACTGAGCCCTAGATGGGTTAATTAAATGGCTCAAGATATATAACTAGCAGAGATGGGAAGATGGGATTAGAATTCTCCCACTTTTTTCCAATGCCTATAGAATGACACTGAGTACAATCTTTCTAGAAAGTGTTAAAAAGATGGGATCTTCATATAGAAGCAGAGATATATAATTCTCAGAGAATATCTGCAATTAAAGAGATCTTAAGGGGCACCTGGGTGGCTCAGTCGTTAAGCGTCTGCCTTCGGCTCGGGTCATGATCTCAGGGTCCTGGGATCGAGCCCCGCATCGGGCTCCCTGCTCTGTGGGAAGCCTGCTTCTCCCTCTCCCACTCCCCCTGCCTGTGTTCCCTCTCTCGCTGTGTCTCTCTCTGTCAAATAGATAAATAAAAAATCTTAAAAAAAAAAAAAAAAAGATCTTAAAAGATATCTAAGATATCTAGTCAAATCCCCCCTCTTTATGATCTTAATGATTGCTAATCAATTCGCTTAAATTATCTTTACTTTGTACATTGCTAATAGAAACGAAAAATTATGCAGTGGACCAAAGGGAAACATATCTCAATGGTTAGAACTTGATAGGCCATCACGTATAAATCAAAAACATTTACTAACCACTGAAAACCACAGATGGATATGAATGCTAATCCATTTTGGGACAACATTATTTTGAGACGTGCTTATCATGACAAGCTAAGATAGAACAAGAAAAGTAGGATAGCGCCAGTGCTCAGGCCCAAGATCTTCTGTCCATTAGATCTGATAGTCTGTCTTTCCAATTATTTTCCTAACCAGAATTCCCTTAAATACACAATTAAGATTTCCAAAGAAGCCATCAGCATTGTATTTATTGGGCTGATTTAATTTGCCTTCATTCCTGATGACCCTGGTACAAAGAAGAATAAATAGTAATTCCTTTAAAACATTCAGATTATAGGTATCTGCATACATTTTACACTCTACAGAAGGACAGCAATATATTTTGAAAAAGACCCAGCACAATAAAAGGTTCTAAGTTAGATGTATAAGAAATATAATATAGAATAGGGAGTGGATGAAAAATGTTGTTTGGGGATTCTAATACTAAGAACCCAAATGATGAAACATTATGTTTATGACTATATGTATATGTATAATTATATATGGGTAGATAGATACAGATATATCTCCATATCCAAACAATGATAATGTTAGATTTATGCAATAAGTTTAAAAATAAAAAATGTCACAGTGATAAATGACAAAAAGGGTGTTTTTTTTTGTGAGAACTTTAAGGCCATAAAATGTAATCAAGTGTGACTTGATCTTGTGTCTCAATTCACAAAATAAAGGAACAGTTATGTGGGAAAGCAAAAGGTAACTAGCTTTTTTTTTTTGCTTGCTCTTTTTTTTTATTTGTAACTAGCATTTTTAAGGCAGTAATTACTATATCTAAAAAAACTCTAGTAAAATGGGGGCTCCTGGGTGGCTCAGTCAGTTTAAGCATCCAACTCTTGGTCAAGCTCAGATCATGATTTCATGGGTCATGGGATCAAGCCCCAAGTCAGGCTCCACGCTCAGTGGGAAGTCTGCTTGAAGATTCTGACCCTCTGCCCTTCCGGCGTGTGCATGCACACACACACTCTCTTTTTCTAAAATAAACAAATCTTTAAAAAACTGAAGTAAAAGTAAAATGAAATGATCCAAGTCTGGGAAGACTAATAATTTGGATCATTAGAGCAAAGGAAAAACAGAAAGGAAAGGGAGACATGAAGAGTCCCTTTCTTTCTGATGGGGGAGAACAGAACATCTGAATCATTCAGACTCTCATAATTTGTCAGTAAACCATTAGGTAACCTAGATAAAACACTAGAAATGAAATGATGGTGATGGTTACACAGTCTTTCACTGTCCATACTGTAGGCTATCACATTACTGAAACATAATTCCAAAGGTTAAAGAAATTTAAAACCTTTAGAAAGACTATCTTGAATGACATAGAAAAAGCATATTTCCTAAATTTGAAGGATTTTGAAGTGGTTCATATTCATAGTAAGAACCTATTAAGATTTTACTCTCGGTGAATACTCCCCATGTTAGATAAAGACACCCAAAAAGGTAGGGTGGCATTACTAATTGGTTTTATCCCATTCCCCCCCTGAAAACTACACATAACTAACATGTCCTGTCACTTCTTCTATTCTTCTTGCGTGATATTTGACTATTTTAGAACAATTCTCTTGGTTTATACTCTGCACATAATCATCCACAGCAACATTCTTACCAAGTTTAAATTGTCAGTGTTGCCACCTAGTGCCTCTTCAAATTCACCTAAGCCCAGGAAACTCCTGGCAACATGAGATAGGTATTATCAACATAATGAATTTCATCACATGTAACTAAATACACCAGGTTTCTAGTCCAAATAAATAGCACTTACTTATGTCCATTTAAGGCTGCATGGTGTAAAGCAGTGTAACCCGAACTGTCTGTGCAGTTCACATTGGGGCCTCGCCAGATGCTGCAAATAAAGCACAAGCGCAGAGTTAACAGTTAAGCAGAACCGTGCTTTGAAAAACAAAAAGAAGGCTCAGAGTCCCACAGCCAGCAGCATGTTGCATAAGAAAATTCTAGTCATGTAGAAAATGAATGCCATCTTTCATGCATTCTCCTTGGAACAATAACTTCATTTATTTGATATAAGGAAATTATTAGGGAATATAACCACCTCCAGAAATTATTAGTGAATGAAGGACTACTGCCATGTATTAAAAGTGAATCCAAAAATTCCCTATTACTTTATATAAATACTTAAATATTGGAAGCAATTAACACTCAGCTATTATATTCTCTACCAAAGAATAAAGATTTATGACACCTGCCTCCTCCATTTTAACACAATCCTTCTGAGATGTCAGAGGTTTATATAAGTTAAAAGACATTTCTGCATTATGGGAAGAATATAAACTGTTCTTGCTGTTGAAATGTTACCAAGATAATCAGTATTTCATCCTTGAAAATATAATTGAAGATTTGGACTGTTATAAACCACAAGAAGATTATCATAGTTTTGAAGATATCATTTTACAATACAACATATTTTGAAGATAACGTATACATATTTTGATACTATTCACAAATCAATCAACATGATAGATCACATCAATAAGAGAAAGGATAAAAACCATATGATCATTTCGATGGATGCAGAAAAAGCATCTGACAAACTACAACATCCATTCATGATAAAAACCCTTAACAAAGCAGGTTTAGAGGGAACATACCTCAATACATAAAGGCCATACATGAAAAACCCACAACAAACATCATACTCAAAGGGGAAAAACTGAGAGCTTATCCGCTAAGGTCAGGAATAAGACAAGGATGTCCGCTCTCACCACTCTTATTCAACACAGTAATGGAAGTCCCAACCACAGCAATCAGACAACACAAAGAAATAAAAGGCACCCAAATTGGTAAGGAAGAAGTAAAACTTTCAATATTTACAGGTGACATGATACCATACGTAGAATACCTGAAATATTCCACCAAAAAACTACCATAAAGTCACAGTATACAAAATCAATGTACAGAAATTTGTTGCATTTCTATACACTAATAATGAAGCAGCAGAGAGAGAAATTAAGAAAATAATCCCATTTACAAATGCACCATTTCAAAGAAATTCAAGATGACACAAAGAAATGGAAAGACATTCTATGCTCATGGATTGGAAGAACAAATACTGTTGAAATGTCTAAATTACCCAAAGCAATCTAGACATTAAATGCAATCCCTATCAATACCAACAACATTTTTCACAGAACTAGAACAAACAATCCTAGAATTTGTATGGAACCACAAAAGACCCTGAATAGCCAAAGCAATCTTGAAAAAGAAAAAACCTGAAGGAATCACAATTACAGAGTTTAACTTGTATTACAAAGCTGTAGTAATCAAAAAACAGTATGGTACTGGGGCGCCTGGGTGGCTCAGTTGGTTAAGTGTCTGCCTTCAGCTCGGGTCATGATTCCAGGGTCCTGGGATCCAGCACCACATCGGGCTCCCTGCTCAGCAGGAAGCCTGCTTCTCCTTCTCCCTCTGCCCCTCTGCTTTTGCTCTCTCTCTCTCACTTGTGCTCGATCTCTCTCAAAAAAAAAATTAAAATTAAAATTAAAAAAAAAAACAGCATGGTACTGGCACAAAAACAGACACGTAAATCAATGGGACAGAATACAAAACCCAGAAATAAATCTACAATTATATGGTCACTCTTAGATAAAGAAGCCAAAAATATGCAGTGGGAAAAACACATTCTTTTCGACAAATGGTGTTGGAAAAACTGGACAGCTACATGCAAAAGAATGAAAATGTACCATTTTCTTACACTGTATACAAAAATAAACTCGAAATAGATTAAGGGCCTAAATTTGAGATCTGAAACCATAAAAATTCTAGAATAGAGCACAAGCAATAATTTCTCTGAAATTGACTATAACAACATCCTTCTAGATATGTCTCCTAAAGCAAGGGAAACAAAAGCAAAAAAAAAAAACAATTGGGTCTACATCAACATAGAAAACTTCTACACAACAAAGGAAATAATCAACAGAACTAAAAGACAACATACTGAAATGGGAGAAGATATGTGCTAATGATAAAGGGTTAGAACCCCAAATATATAAAGAACTGATACAACTCAACACCAAAAAACCAAACAATCCAATTAAAAATGGGGAGAAAACATGAAGACATTTCTCCAAAGAAGACATAGATATAGGCAACAGATACATGAAAAGATGCCTAACATCACTCATTATGAGAAATGCAAGTCAAACTGCAATGACAAAACACCTCACACATGTTAAGAATGGCTATAATCAACAATACAAGAAACAAGTGTTGGTGAGGATGTGAAGAAAAAGGAACCCACGTGCACTGTTGGTGGGAATGCAAACTGGTACAGCCACTGTGGAAAACAGTATGGAGGTTCCTCAAAAAAATTAAAAACAGAACTACCATATGATCCAGTAATTCCACTACTGTGTATTTATCTAAAGAATACAAAAACACTAATTCAAAAAGATAAATACACAACTATGTTTATTGCAGCATTATTTACAATAGCCAAATTATGGAAGCAGCCTATAGATAGATCGATGGATACACAGATACATCAATACATAGATACATAAATAGATCGATCTAAATCCACCCATATCTATATATAATGGAATATTATTTAACCATAAAAAAAGAATAAAACGTTGCCATTTGCAATAACATGGATGGATCTAGAGAGTGTAATGCCACACTAAATGAACCAGAGAAAGACAAATACCATATGATTATACTCATATGTGGAATTTAAGAAACAAAACAAATGAGCAAGGAAAAAAAAAGAGAGAGACAAACCAAGGAACAGACTCTTAACTATAGAAAACAAACTGATGGTTACGAGATGAGAGTGGGGAGAGGATGGGTGAAAATAGGTGAAGGGAATTAAGAGTATAATTATCATGATGAGCACTGAGTAATGCATAGAATTGTTCAAACACTATATTGTACACCTGAAACTAATATAACACTGTATATAAATTGTATTGGAATTAAAATAAAAAACAATTTAAAAAACTAAGGTCTAATGACAAGTTAATTCATGTATTCACAAATTATGTATTGTATACCAATTGTATGTCACGTATTAAGCTAGGAACTGAGAGTACAAAATCATAATTCAGGGTCCACATTTACAAGAACAGAGTCTAATAGAGAAGACAGACACATAAGCAGTTACAAAGTAGTAAGGTAAGTGTAGTTCCAGCTAGCACAGAATGAAAACTATTCCAAATGAGAGATCATAACAAATTTCAACTAAGAAGGGACAATGAAAATGAGTAGAAGGCACTTATTCATAGTTAATTAAAAGGACAAATCAGTAAGATACAGGGGCCAAATGAGGAAAGAAGGAGACGGTAACCTAGAATGACTCAGTTTTCAAGCGTAAATAACCAGGAAAAAAAAAAAAAACTAAGATGTAAAAAAGAAGAGCATATTTGGGGGAGGACAGTGGAGAAGGAGAGAAAACAGTGACTTCAGGTTTAAAGGCACTAAATTGTAAGTACCTAACATACTTACAAGTAAGGCTTTCAGAAGACTATGATAGATAGATAGATAGATAGATAGATAGATAGATAGATAGATAGATATTTAGAAGCATGTTTCTGAAGTTAGACTACTTGAGTTCAAAACCTGCCTCCATTACTTGATGTGAGTAGCCCTGGATAAAGTATTCAACCTCTCTGAACTTCAATTCCTCAACCATAAAAAAAAGATAATAATAGTACTACCTTATAGTGTTCTTGTGAGATCAAAATAATCAATACCTATAAAGCTCGAGTTACTAGTACACAGTACCAGCATGGATTATATTAGTTAGAAGACAGTCCAACAAATTCATAAAACAAATTATTAAGTAAAAGGTAAAATCATGGGAGTACCTGATACCAGACTCTGTAAGAGGGAGGCCATTAGACTCAAAATACCTCAAGTAGAAAATTTGTATATGGGGGAAAGTTGAAACCTTCTCTCAAAGGTAGGTATTAGTTAAAATCTATCAATTTCTGAGTTAAAAAAAAAAAATGAAACCTGGGATGGGTAGACAGCACCAAGTATAAAGCAACTCAAAGTCTGAAAACCTCTGGGCCTCACTAAAACTGTCAGAGAACCTATATAAAACAACTAGTGAGAAAACAAAAACTGAAAGAAATGTAGGACAGACAAGAAAACCATAGATATTTAACAATATTTAAGGATCCAGCAGAAGAAAAGGTTATACAAAGGGCATTGAGAGTTGTCCAGGAGTAGAAATAAAGCTAAGAGAAAGCATTACACAGTTTAAAACAGGAAACTTCCAAAAGGAACTGAAGAGGTCAATTTAGATGAGAATTAGACAACTTATTTGGCAATTAAGAAGGTTTCGAGGAAACTAAAACTCAAATATAATAAGTCAATTCTCAGGTTTTAACTTTATTTTGGCCTTAAAGTTATTTCCATACAATGATTTATTTTGTTTAATGGTACTTATCCTCCTAAGACTCAAAAAGTGACAGTTAAGCCAGGAAAGTGATAAAATGTACATATGCTTTACAACTTCATTGAGAATATTAGGCTTTTAAAATTCTTTTTTTAAAATCAATCCTGAAATGAAAACACAAATGTTCAAAACCTTTGGGATGCTGCAAAGGCAGTCCTAAGAGGGAAGTAGATAGCAAAACAAGTCTTTCTCAAGAACAGGAAGGGTCTCAAATACACAACCTAAACTTACACCTAAAGGAGCTGAAGAAAGAAAAGCAAAAAAAGCCTAAACCCAGCAGGAGAAGAGAAATAATAAAAATTAGAGCTAAAATCAATTGAAATAGAAACCAAATGAACAGTAGAACAGATGGACAAAACTAGTAGCTGGTTCTCTGAAAGAATTATTAAGACTGATAAACCTCTGGCCAGACCTATCAAAAAGAG